GATAGCAAACTTGAGGGTTATAGTCCTGCTAATGCCAGCATATAAATTAGACTTATGAGTGGTTACTTCCCTGGGGATCTTGTTGGAAAAGCAGATGTAAATCTTCTAATGGCTCGCAGGGATATGAAAAGTTGCCTCCTGGAACTTCAGGCTGCAGAGTGGAGGCTCTGTGACTTTCCTCAGGAGGTATCCAGGGCTTCAGCAGAGTGTGATGAATCCATGAGTTAATTTCCACTACCTTAATTGCCGTTGGGGTAGACAGAATGACCGAAAATGGTCCTTCCCAGGATGAGCCTAAAGAGGGAGAGTCTGAGGGGACAGAATTAACAAGCACCAAGTCTCCAGGGCAAGAGAGGAATACTAAGAAGGCCCTGCAGTGTCCAGGAAAAGATTAACTTCCTGGACCTCTATGGTCAGCTTTACCTGGGGCTCTGTGAGAGTGATGCCTTGTGCTGGCACTTGGTCTAGGCACCCTCAGTCCTGCCATTGGGTCATCTGGTCAGATACCTCAGGCCCTGGGAACCTTCATCCCCTGGGACACTGTGCTTTAAAGTGATTCCCTTGGCACAGCGGGCATGGACAAGATGGTGGTCTATTCCTCTGGGGACAATTTCTTATAAAATGTCCCTTCAGACCACACTGGTAACAAGTTCTACCAGACTGGTGGCTAACCCAAGCCTTTCCCTCCTTTGAGACCCTGGGGTCTGTTTGCCTGAAAGCCAAGACTAAGGCTGATCTCTCCTGTTCCTTTCAGCCTGTTCCTCCTGGTCTCTATTATAAAACACCAAGGTTGCCTGTTTCAGTAATGATTTTAGACTCTGTTCTGGCCCCAAAGCCAGCTTCTGGAGCTTTCTCCTGATATCTGCTGCTGAGTAATTAACTTGTCCTTTAGTATTAACTGACCCTCAATGGAGTCTGGTACCAGGGGAACGTACTTTCTTAAAGCCTCCCGCAATTGCTCAAGGAAAGCTGTTGGGTTTTCTTCCCTTCCCTTTGACGGTTAGATATTCCAATCGGCAGAGGGTAATTTTGCCACGCTGTTTGGTAGAGAAAAGCCACTTCTTCTTTAAAGATCATGTGTCAAGTTCCTCCCAATTTTCCAGTATACACTTTAATGGGGACTTGAGCTTGGGAACAGAAGCACCCATCTGAAATTGAACACAAGGGATGCCCACAGCCCCCGTTAAAGAAATTACAGCTGCTTCGACCTGAGGCGTCCCTTAGGTAAAACGGGTACTGAAATGAAACTTCTTTCAGTCAGCACCCCGAAATTTTGTGTGCCCAAGATGCGTGATCCATCTTATTAGAGGGCTTCCTATGTACTGGATTCCAATCATGACCTACCAGAATCATGGGACCACTCACTGCCTGCATGACCTCCAGTGACTACCATAGAGGTATGGAACGAAAGGAGCTATTGGGTTGGGGAGTCACGTACCAACAAGCCCTGATGAGACCGGTGAAGCTCAGGAGATGGGTACCAATATTTCCCAGCTAAAGTCCAACTTACACAAGCCAGATTATAAAACTGCCCCAGAAGGGTAAACTTCTAGGGAGGGGCCATTAGAGCACATAGCTCAAAGAAGGCAGGCCAGCGTGGCTGAGGCCAGAACAATACCCTCAGGACCCGGGCCTCCTCTCCCCAAACCCATCTTCTATTGTAGGAAAATGCCTTTAGGGATTCGAGAGCTGCCGTTAACTATTTGGGCCCTGGAACTGGTTTAACTATAATCTTCTAGATGGAAACATTCTGCCATAGAGGGAGAGCCAATCCTAAGGAAAACCAATTATACACCAAACACAAAGTCCCATAGCCTTCAGCTTCTGAATTTCCCCAAAAGGTTTTCATCAATTGGAGACTGACCCTACTGGGGATTTGAACCAGCAACTTTGACAGTTACAGGCACTACACATTATCCAACTGTGCAAGCAGGCAGAAAGCAAAGGCAGAAAGCTTTCTTAAGCTATATTTTGAATGAGAATGCTGCACCCGGAGGCACTGTGGCTTGCTTAAAAGCTAGGCGGGGCTGACGGCGGCCAGCAACTGCTTCCTTTCCCTTAGCCGCACTGGCAGAGGAAAAAAAGCCGCTTTCCATGTCAATTTAAAAGCCAGGCCACTGTGCTGCCCTGCTATGTGCCAGAGGGGAAGGCCTGCCCCTGCCCCTGCCCCTGTGGCGTCCCGTCCGCCATGTTGCTGGGACCATGTGCCCACCCTGGACCACTCCCCCAGCCGCTACCCACAGTGACCCGCAGCTGGCAGGGGAATGTCCTAGGGAAGCCTTTTTTACACTGCTGCCTGGGACTGGGGAACTCCGCAGAGGCCTGCCTGAACCATGCGCCAGGCCACCGAGCTCCCCAGTCCCCTGCGGGTTCTGGCTGTACCTCACCCCTCCCCGCTGTTTTTCTTCGGCCAGGCTGAGGCTTGCTGCACTACCAGTGGTCCCAGTTACCGCCCCAGTCGGCAAGGAGTGAAACGCCCTGGGGACAGTGCTTGCCGGCTCCGCCCCACAGGCTCCCACAGGAAAAACCTGTGCTCTTAATTCTGGCCAGCTGTGCCACCATGGCTCAGCCCTGCCGCTCCCGTTCCCAACAGCCCTGCATGCTGTGGCGGCTTCAGGTGTTCTTAAACAGGTAGGACAGAATGGAGCCGGTTTTACTCACGATTTTGAAGTCTTCTCTGGCTGTACCCCTCTTTCTGATGTACCTCACTGCTGGCTGGCTCGCCAAAATGTAACATTGGGGTTCAGGGTGCCCTCAGCTCCCCAGAGAGGACGTTTTTCCAGGTTCTTGGTCTCCTGCCCTCTCAAGAATGAGGGGACCACGGCTCAGTGCACAGTAAATGCCGGACTCAAAAGTGTTTGTAGAAAGTGATTTATTTAGAGCAAGAGAGAGAAATAGAAGAAGGAGAGAGAAAGAAACAGCTAATTCTCACACTGAGAGAATCCAGAAAGGTGGAATCCAGGAGAGGAAAGCAGCTTCCACACTAAGTGGAAGGGAATAGAGAGAGATGGAGTTTAGGAGGGGAAGACCGGCTTCCACGAGAGCGTGGAAGGGAACTCCGGAGAGAAAATCCAGGAGAGAGAAAAACAGCTTGCACAAGAGTGTTTATGGGAGGCAATCTAAACGTGGAGTCTGAAGGGGTGTGGAAGAAGGGGACTTTTAGTTCCTCCTTCTCTCAGACCTCTGGCCAATGAAAGGTGTTGTTCCTCATTCTCTAAGACCTCTGGCCAATGAAAGGAGTTCCTTAGAACTTCTGCTGGAGTGATTGACTCTTAGTTTCTTCCCGTGCCCGCAAAATTCAAACATAAACCGTTAAATGTCCCGGATGGAGAGAGATGGGAGGGGGGCATGGCGATGGGAAATTCTTGCCCTTAAAACTATGCCTCCTTGTGGACCCAGAAAGAGAACACCTTCCCTCAGCTCGACATAATTTTTCATTAGAAAATTGAAAATTATAGCACTATGTGCCTATTAGAACATCTAAAATTACAGATAGATAAATTATAGATAGATGAATGATAGATTGCGATAGCCAATTTCAAGTGCTGGCGAGGATGAAGGAAAGGGATTCACATTTGCTGATGGTTATAAAAATGCTATAACCACTCTAGAAAACTGTTTGGTTCTTTAAACAAATTTACCACAAGATCTAGCAATTGGAATCCTAGATATTTAGCCAACTAAGTTAAAAACTTTTCACCATACAAAACGCTGCATGCAAATGTTTGTAGAATATTTATTCACATTTGCCAAAAACTGGAAACCACCCAAATATTCTCCAGTGGATGACTAGCTAAACAAAATGTGATACAAATAATGAGACTCTCCTCAACGATAAAAATAACTATTGCTACACACAATAACATGGATGAATCTCCAATGCATAATGGTGAGGGAAAAAAGTCAGTTTCAAAATGTTACACATTGCATAATTCCTTGTATACAATGCAGTCACAAAGATAAAACCATAGCAGTGGAGAACCTATCGGTGGTTCCCAAAAGTTAGGGATTAGGGAAGACGTGGCTATATAAGCTCAGAACTAGGGACTTCTTTACTGTGCCAATGGTTACATGAATCCAAACAAGGGTTCGAGATCAGAGGATTACATATGGAAAAAACAATTTTACTGGATATTAATTTTAAAAGTCAAATAAATTACTAAACGCTATTAAATATGTACAATGTTTAAAGTCAAACAAAAAGTCCTTAACTGGAAGTAAAATAAAGATTGTTAAGAAGTACACCAGCATGGTATGGGTCACCCGCAATGTAACGTCCTGGTTGGGATAAGGGGGCGTGGCTACATCTAGAGGGTGATGTGAGAAGTGCCTAGAGCAGTGAGCAGGTCTTCTCATCGGGAAGGGGAACCATCTGAAGGGATGGCGTGAAAAACTCTTTAGAGGAAGGCAAAAGATGGGAAAAGGTCGGAGAGCCTCTTTGGGACATAAAAGGACCAGCTTTGCATTAGGCGTGATGCACAGGCCCCAGCGAAGGGCGTGGAAACTGCAGCCTGGACAGCCTGGGAGGGAGAAAGTTTGGGATGCTTAGGAAGAAAGGGTGCGCCAGCCAAAGGGAAGAAACAAAGTAGGTGGCTGCAGACGGCGCGAGTCAGGCAGCAGGAAAAGGCAGGCTATTTAAGCAGCGTTTCCTGCAGTCCAGGCTGAGAGCGCAGAAGAGGGAACCCCGACGGGCGAGCGTGGGAGAGCCGGAACGGGCGCGCGGGCGCGGGCGCGGGCGCGAGGGCGCCGTGCGTCTTCCCGTAGCTCGCGGCCGCGGCGCCGGTGGTGGCCGCGAGCACGCGAGCTCCGTGCCCGGCCCCCGGCGGGGCGGGGGCGGGGCACAGGGCGCGGCGCGCGCACGTTCGTGCGGGCGGGGGCGGGGCGTGAACGCGGCCGGTGACGTCAGAAGAGGGCGCGCGCCGGGAGGCTGCGGGCGGAGCCGGGAGGCGGGCACAGCGCGCGGCCGCGGGCGGAGCGGCGGGGCGCGAGGGGCGGAGCTGAGCGCGCGAGGAGGCGGGGGAGGAGAGGCCACCGGGACCGCGAGCGGCAGCTGAGGAGGGGGCCGCGGAGCCGGAGCGCGAGCAAAACAGCTGATCTGGTTTTCCTTTAAAGCGAGAGAAAATGGAAGTCGGGTAGCTGCGACTGCGGCGCGGCGGGCTGGCGGAGCGGAGCGGCGCGGCCGTCAGGTGAGACGGCGCTGGCCGCGGTGCTGCCGGCGGGCGGCGGGGCCGGGCCCGCGGACCAGGCAGGTGCGCTGTCTGGGCGCGGGGCCGGCGCCGGCTCCGGCTCCTTCCCGAGCTCCGGGGCGAGGCAGGTGGGCGTTGAGGCCGGGCGACCGTGGGGCCGGGGCGCGGGGAGGCGGGGGGCGCGGGCCCCAGCTGGGCTCGCCGGCGCGTCTGCATTGCGGGCTCAGCTCGGGACCCCGCGGGCGCCGGGGCCACCGGCTTCGGCCCGGCGTGGCGCGCGTCTCTCGGGCAGGGCGCGGCGCTCCCGCTGGGTCGGGGCTGCTGTCTCCGCTCAGCGCTTTGGCTGTCCGCACTGGAACGTGATGCCAGGCGTGGGGCGACCGGCCCCTCGGTCCGTGCGCGCGCGTCGGGGGTCCAGCGGCTCTGGCAGACGGCCGGGCAGGGCCGGGCCCCGAGCAGCGCGCGAGGCCGCTCGCCTGGCACCGGAGCTGTGGCTGCGTGGGCCCCGCGGCCCCGCGTACCGGCGTCCCGCTGGCTCTGCTGGGTCTCGCTGGATAGCAGGCAAACCATTAATGGAATTGGGCTGTGAACCCAGAGGCCTTCCCCTCGTATCTCCTCACTGGAGGGGAAAAAATTACATCTGCGGTGCTTTAAGTGCTCCTTTAAATTTGGGAGATGTCAGTGATGTCATCATTAAGTAAAACTTTCCTTCATTGGACACAACCGCTCAAGTGCATCCTCCTCCCGCCCGGTGAAGCTATTGCAGCCCTTTGAGAATCTCTGTAATAAAATGGATTTGCCTCTGCTCCGTAAACTCAGCAACCACACATAAGTGCAAATGACTTTTATTTCTGTCTATTGGCTTGAGAATGAATAGACTTAAGAGTAGCTGAAAGGAAACTTGTGAGACCCGGATTAGGGAATTGCTTCATCCACAGCACGAGGATCCAGGGGAAAGTCATGTATGACATGCACATGGTTACTGCCGGATCCTAGCTTTGCAAATGGAAGTTGACTGTAAGAGGAACATTTTTTTAAAATATTATGGGGAAGATAATGTGTCCAGGAAAAGGTGGACAGCGGGGCCTAAATCTATAGGCTTGATTGCTTCAGGAAAATCTGCAGGTGTCCTTCTTCACCACCCTCCTCCTCCAGGGTGTGCCCGAGAGAAGCCTGCCCTGGGCAAAGGCGGGGAGGCAGGTTCCCTAGGGTCCTCCCAGCAGCAGTGTGTCCCACCAGCCTCAAAGGCCTCTTCAAAATCCAAAGAGGGTTCAGGAGAACAGAGGTAAAGCTGCATGGCACACTCAGTTCTGGGGTAAACATTCCCCCCAAATGGGATCAACACTCCATTATTTTATTGTGCATAAGCCATTAGTACCAATTCTTATGGGAACAAAACTAAGCAAGTTCCCAAGACAATCTTGAGTATCTACTCAAGCCTGTCACATCAAAAGGACATCCAATAAGGGACAAAAGTGTTGACATTTTCATATTTAATAATTAATGACAACTCCTAATTGGTTAAAATAAGCATGCCTTAAATTATTAGTGTGATTGTATTGGGTCTGTAAGGAATTTAATACCATATGCCATGCAAAAGTTGGAATCTGATTAGAACTTCAGTCTTTTGAACCCTGGATTGGTGTGAAAGAATGGGAAAGCAGTGGTTACTTAGGCCTTCAGTGTTCAGGGTGATAATGCGTGAAAATCAGCACTTTATGTGGAAATCACCATGTGCGGGTCTCACCTGGGCCTAGGTCATAGGTGGCAGGTGTCCCCTTAGGAAGTAATTCCTGAGGCCTTCAAGTTTGGTGGAGAAGGAGAGGGGACACCTTCCTCTGAGCAAGCCATGTGTAATTCTTGGCCTCTGACCTCCCGATGGTGCCACATTTATTCTCAATGGTGTGCCTAAGTGAGATGAGAAACTAGCTCCAAATGTGCTGCTTTTGGATGACTCTGCTCCCACTGTGTGTAGTTGCTTTATAACTCAACTCTTGAGTTGTGCAGAAATTCTTCTTTATATGTCCTCAATAGTGTGAAGATTGTTTTCTAAGGCTCTGGATTGCAAACCCTTTGACAATGGAGTCTATGAAACCAATCTGGCCCTGTATTCATCTCTTTTTTTCACCTGTAGACTTGTGATGATATTTACCACGATTATTGTTTAACTCACTGTAGTACTTGTAAAACTTCAAATGCAAGTGTTTCCACTAAAGCTTTAGGTATGAGTCACTTATTTCCCTAAAGCATTTTAAAACAGCTACTTTAAAGCCTCTTCATTCCACTTGTATGTTTAGAGTGCTTAAATTTGGGAGCTGTCAGTGGTATCCCAAAAGAGATCACTGTCACATCTTCTATTTCTAAGAAGTCAAAATTGCCCTGATTTTCTTTCTGTTTCCTCTGGATCTTAAGGTCATTTATTCATGCCTTAGGCCCACGAAAGAAAGGTTGAAGCAGCTCCTGTGGGCCAGCAGGGGGCGTGCTAAACGCAGTTTGGTGGGCCTGTGTCAGAGCCACCTTGGGAGTGGATCGCCAAGTTGCAGGAGGTGCATGTGTGTGCGCCATGTGCCCTGTCCTCGGTTCCCCACCCACCCCCGACTCCACCCCTTCCTCTCCACTCCGCATGCCAGTCTTCCAAGAGATGGAAACTTTAGGAAGGGTTGGGGGCACATATTTGAATGACCAGAGGTCCTGGAGTCTAGAATGTAAGCCTCCCTAGCAGAGAGATTGTTTCAGTGGCTCCACGTCTTTGGCGGGTGGCTCTTAGCACACTTTGAGTCTCAAGATCAAGTGCCTTCTCAGACTGCGGAAGTGAGAATGTTGGTTTGGAGTGGAGAAATTTGACTTCATTGAACTGCAGGCCTGTGTGCTGCTGAGGGCGTGAATGTGCCAGCCAGGGCAACCCGTGTAAATCCTCTCCCACACACCCTTGATGCTTACTCCTGGCTTTGACTCCACATTGACTTAAGCCCTGGGACCCTGTGTGGTGGTACTTCCCTGGGGGGCCTACTTGACCCCTTGCCCTGGATTATAGGGAACAGGGGCCCACTTAGGAAGTAACTCCTGTGGCCCCCAAGCCTGGTGAAGGAGGGGAGGGGCACTTTGCTCTGAGCAAGCTGTGTGCAAGTCTTGGGCTCTGACCTGGTGCACCGTGTTTATTCCCATGACGTGCCTAAATGAGATGGAAAGGGCTTTTGGCCTCAAAGTTTCTCTGTTGGAAAACATTTAATTACAGTGCTTTTATTTTTCCCTAGAAAATGAAAACAAGGAAAAAATGGCAACTGTGCTTTTCCACTTAAAACGTGCATAATCTAATTTTAAGTGTGTGCCAGGTCATTGAACCTCACGTTCCCTGGGAGGCTTTTCCCAGGGACTGAGCTCAGAGAGGCCAGCTTGTGCTCCAGGGCCATCTTGGTGAGTTGGGATGGATGTGTCCCATGCTTTGATGGTCATTGCAGAATCTGGGTGTCTTACTGAAGACCAACGACTCCTCTCTCCTCCTGAGGTTCCTCATGGAGCCCCCATGCAAAAGGGAACATCACACTTTAAAAGGAAAGAAGCTTCATAGATGCCCTACTACAGAACTAGCCCACTGCTATGACTGAGCATTTCCTTATACTTCTCATTCCATTGAAATTGCATGGAAAACTGAACTATTAATTTCAAGGGGGCAAATGGGAATAACATGTTTTTCAGCCTTGGAAACCAGACTCTTCACCTTAATTGAACACTGTAAATGGTTAAAGGAGCAACTCCACTAGATGTGAGATAGGTGATGCCAAATCCCTCTAGGTGTTTATCCCTGAGGACAAAATGGAAATAAAATATGCTGGTTCTTTTTTATAATATATTTAATGTGAAAACATTATACCCTTGAACCTTAAAAAAATAATTTTATTTGCCCATTGGTAGGCTGCCATGTTTTGCAAAAAGTTGGTGTGTCAGACCAGGAATAAGGTGGCCTTAGCACAGATGCCACAAGCGGGTAACCGCCTTCGTCACACTTTTGGAATGGCGTTCTTCACCATTCATAGTAGCAGACGGGAGAAGTGGGTTAAAAATAAGTCTTTACAAAGCTGAAATGGAGAGAAGAGCCGGACGCTGCCTTATGACTTGCCTGTGTTGTGGAGGCGTGTTTAGCTGGCTGGTTTGCACACAGCATTTTTGGACCAGGAAGTGGGGGAGTATAGACTAGGATTGGGAGGGAGGGAGCCATGCAGCAGCCACAGCTGGCGGAGGCCTGGCCCATCAAGCTGTAGGTTCCTTGTGGCAAAGGGAGAGAGTTAGCCTCCCATGCATCCAAAGCCTTATTTGGTAAAATTGCATGATTCCACAAAACCCCAGTCCTTGCTATTACCAATTTCTGCTCTACAGCATCTCACATTCTGAGAAGTCAAATACACATTCATGCTATTATAAGTTTTAAATACATCTCTCTTAGTTAAGTAGGTAAGTCTAAAGTAAACTTATTTTGTAGGATTGAAGGATTTTGAGTTTCTCCTTCCAAGGAAATATTTCCTATTTGAGCATAGTTTATTGTTACCTCATTTTCATTATAAATATAATGGAAGTTTGAGGTCTGAATGAATATACATGAGTAAGATGCAGTATTGACTTTTATGAAATATCAAAGTTGACCTTTGAAATTCATTTCCTTGTCTGTTGAGCATTTCATTTGTTTTATTAGATTACTGTAAAGTTTCACGTGGTGCTGGGGATTGGTGTGAACAGAGCATACACCCATTCCCTCTGTGAGATTAGATTAAGTTTCTCAGTTACTGAGACAAAGGTTTAGGAGCTAACCCAAGAGGAGGTGGCTGCCCCGAGTGAGAACAGACATCTCTCTGTGGTACACACAGGTTGAGCCTTGCTACCTCTGCAAAGACCCCAGTTTTCATTCCCCCAGCGCTAATACACCCATCTGCAAATAATTTACCCAAATCATTTCTGTGCTCACATTTTAGGAATTTTCTATGAATTAAGTTCTCACAGTAAGTTCA